TGCTAGATCAGATCCACGGGGCCAGTCTACCAGCTGGATCTAGCCTGCAGACAGACTGGGTACCACTGATCCAGTCCACAAGTAAAAAACGGCTGGGGCACCACTGTCCTGAACTGGTCTTCAAAACCTAGCAGGAAGAGATCCAAATGTTTACCCGTTTGCTAACACTACTTACAAATCCATTAAATATGAGTATAGTTTTTTTCCAATATGGAAATAATTTGCATTTGCAGGTGAAGGGCCTTAATGTTGGCTCAAAATATAGTAATACCTATGAAATAAGAGACTTTGGAGAAGTGATTTCAAAGGCCTTTTAAAGGAGCATCTTAGAAATGCATACCAAAAGCAAGTTTATTACTGCATTTGCAGGTGGATCCACTGAGAAGTCTGCAGCTGAGCTGGTTTATACAAAATTAATATAGGATAGAAAATCTTGTATGTTCATTGCTGTGTACTGCACTCAGATACAGCTGATACAACACAGAATAAGAGTTATAAGAATCAAAGTGGTCTCAGATTGAACATGAATGGCTAGAATTTGTAAGGTTTAGAAATGGTTACAGACTGCTTATATGCTGTACATGTTCTTCCAAAACCCGTTTCATCTGTAGGTATCTGAATGTTAGTTAGCTGTCTAAAAGCTGATGCATAAGCAATATTTAGTCTACTTTTGCAGAATTTAGACACTATGTCCAACTGGGCTTGTCCTTTTGAGAGTTCTCAGAAGGGATTAACAGAAGTCAAAAAGTGAAATAGGATTTGGGCCTTCAAGGTCAAATAAGGTTTTCTTCATGTTGTTATGCCCTGCATCACCAAAAGCCAGCATCTTGCTATTCTGATAGCCTCTATAGTATTTATTATCTGGTAAAAGTAGGACACAATACATAAGATGGTGTGATGTTCACACACACTGAAAACATTACAATAAAAATTACGAACCAGAGCACAATAATCCAAAACAGCAAGAATATTGAGGCAATATTGCTTTAGGCAGTAGCAAGAGCAAAAATATTTTATTTTAATTTACTTTGAGGGAATGAGGCCAGAGGTAAAAAAAATCTGAAGGTCCAGTCTCTTGTTGAAAAAACAAATTTTACATGTGGCTCATAGACAAACTATCGTAATTTTTTTTTTACTCTACATGTATAATCTCTTATTTTTCATGATTTTATGCTTACGTTTATCATAGCATCATAGGAAAGTAGGGCTGGAAGGTAATCTAATCCAGCCCCCTGCTGGACAACAACTCCCCACTCCAAAAACCCCAAATCAAGGCAGGATCATCCCTGACTAAACTATTTCAACCAAATGTCTGTCCAACCTGTTCTTGAAAGCGTACAGGAATTAAAATTCTACAATGTTTCTGGGTAGCCTGTTCCAGTGATTAACCACTTTCATAGTCAGAAATCTTCAATCTAAATTGCCTCTGCTGTAGCTTGAGGCCATTGCTCCTAATCCTGTCCTTTGTGGCTACAGAGAATATTCTATCTACATCCTCTCTGTAATCACCCTTCAGGTATTTGAAGAGTGTTATCAAATCTTCCTCATCTTCTCCACAATAAATCACCCTAGTTCTTTTAGCCTGTCCTCATAAGTCATGCTTTTGAGGCCTCTAATTATTTTTGTTGCTCTGAGCTGCACTTGTGATACACTGTCCACATCCTTCTTAAAGTGTAGGGCCCAAAACTGGACAAGTACTCCAGTGCTGAATAGACCAGAAGATTCACTTCCCTAGATTTGCAAGTGACATGCCTCTTTATACAACCCAGGCTACTGTTAGCTTTTTTTTGTAACAAAAGCACACTGTTGGCTCACATTGTGGTCCACCATACCCCCAGGTCCTTCTTATGCAGTAAGTCAAGTCATTATTAGTATAATGGATTGCTGTACCCTACTTCAGTTGGAGAATAGGTCGAAATATCTTTTTTCATGCAGACCCCCCCCCACCTCTCCGCACCCCTCCCCTCCCCTGGAGTCTTCAGGAAGAAAGCCCTGGTAGCCCAACTGTGGAGTTGAGCGACTAGGGAGTAGGGAGAAGTGATAATAAGTGATGCTAGAGCTTGTACATGGCCTCTTTTTGGATGGCCCTATCTTCCTGAGAAAACCTGGCTTGTGATTATGTGCTATAACTTTTTCTGACAGAGCTTTTAGAGAACATCTCTGCACAGAGAACCTCATGGAGCGCCACTCCCCTGAGTCCTTTCAAGAAGACTTTTCTACAAGAGCTGTCAGTCTGTTACAATCAGCTTCCCCATCTTTTGTGTAGATTTCTCATGTACCACTATGGAGAGAGATGCTTCAAAATATAGAAAAGTGGCATTGTATCTCTTCAAAAATAAGATGTCAGCCAGCCAGTACAGAACCTTCAACAACTTATTTTCTTAAAGCTGATAGATTTCAAATTGATTCTCTCTAAATTAGACTTTAAGGTTTCCTAACTATCATTCTATAGTAAAGGCCAAGGTAATATTGTTAGACCTTTTTAGAATGATTATACCAGCATTGCTCATTATTACAAGATAAAAAGGTCAGTGATGATGATTTTGCAGCCTGATTAGAGTCTGTATAATTATTAGTGATTGGCCATGGATTTCATTCCAGTAGTATTGATTTTGGACACAATTCTAAGTGAAGATAGAGAATAGGGAATGCATTAAAAAATCATAGTAAGTGTAGCAAACACAAAGAATGAGAATCTTTAAAAAGCCCGGGTACTGTATAGGTATTTCAGAACAGAACAAACTGCATAGACCATGTCCAATGTGAAACAATTATGAAGTTTCCCCATGAGCACCTTTGCTCTTTTTCCTACGCTGCCATTTCTGTGTAAGGAAAATCTCCCTGTTAAGATAGCTACCATCTTGTTTGCTCTAAGCTGTCTCCTTGAATTTCATTCCTGCTGTGATTCATACGGAAAATTGTCATCTGAGAAGAGCTAAGCAGATGGGGAATTGTAATTGTTGCCACCAGTGGGCTACAGGTTGTGCACCCAGTTACTAAGCATCGATTTTGGGCACAGACTGTCATTTTCTCTAGACAGAGCAAAACACAAAGGAACCTGCCTACCTGATGTATAGGCCTTACCACAATATAAATATTGAACAATTATCTATGTGTTCGTGCTTTAGCCTCTCTCCCTTTTCCCTCCTGTTTGTTTTTTTCACATATTATGTCTCATTTTAAGTCCTTCTGAGCAGGATTATGTTTAAACAGTGCCCATTATGGTGGGGCCCTGACATGACTGAAGCCTCTGGATGCCACAAAAATATAACTGAGGATGTTTATAATTAGAGGAATAAATGCTGGCATGTCAGCGAATAATACAGTAAGGGAAGCTCATACACCCAGATACTAAATATTCTTATGGAACCTCCCTTACTTCTCTAGTTGGTTTCACAGTTTAGACTTCAAGTGGATCATTTAGTAAAATTAGTGGGAGCGGTTACTCCATTTTCCTAGCACAGAATAAACAAATTACAGGTGCCTTTAAAAGCTAGAAAATATCTTGAGCATCTGATCCACCCTGAGGCAGAGCTTGCCACCATTTTGGTCTAAACAGATCCAAGCTCCTACATTGAAAAACAGTGTAACCTGCAGATATGACAACACGTCAGTCCTGAAAATCCAGCTTATCACTGGGCAGTCTTCCTTTGAAAAATGAAACAGCTTGGTGCTTATTGTCTCCCACGTGGAAACGAAAGTTTCTGAGGTAGTCACAGGCAGATGGGTGTCATTGTTAACTATGTTTATTTCATAATATACCTGCTGCAGCAAACTGGTAGCAGAAAAATAAGATATTCCAGCCAGCTTCTGGAACAGTGGCTGCACACAATTTTATTTTTCAACAAAAAGTATTAAAACATAACCAAATAGGTGACTGGAATGAATGGCCTTACATTCTTTGTTGGTGGTCTGTATGTCAGAGGTAGTATGTTGCCGATGTCATTTTCTAAACATCTTATATTTTTTTGATAAAGGGCCACGCTAAATGGTGATGCACATTTACAGTGGCTACATGGAACATTGTACCTTTTAAAACTGTCTTGCATCTTACTTGAAATGTGATTTGAAATGGTTTGAAACGTGCTTGAATGCCTAGCTAAACAGGAAAAAGGAGTATTTCCATAGGGTGGCATTGCCTAGAGTTGGTCCTTAGGTCTGAAGTAACAACTCAGTAATGATGCAGTAACTCAAGTGTGCTCCCTAACTGTTGAACCCAGTTTGGAAGGCTGTGGAAATCTGGTTTGTTTTGTCTATATTGTATGCCGGATACACTGGTGGGGGTGCAGTTTGAGGGCTTTTTTTTTCTTAAACCATCTGTTAAGATTGTATTTAAAACTGTCATGCAAAGCATAACATGCTTTTGGCCTTTTGGTACTGGAAATAGGACTGTCATGTGTAAACAGGTTCCTGTACATGGATCCTAGCATAGTGAAGTGTCACATTAGTAGAATTAGCAGTTACGTAGATTGGTAAATTATAGGCCTGAAGGGACCATAATGCTCATCTAGCCTGACTGCCTGTATAATACAGAGAACACGGGCAAGGTTTTTCAGTTCACCGACCTCTAAAAGAGAGAGAGAGAAGAAAAACAACCTAGTGTTAGGGTTAATGTTGAACGTAGCATCCAGATCAGTAACCTTCATGGCTCAACTTGATTCCCAGAGAAGTCAGGGACAAATGTCTCTATTCAATTCCCTCTCCTATCCCATTCAGCACTTCTAAGAATTTGCTGGGGAACTGCAAATAATTTATCGTGTTCTTTCTCATTTTCCCTTTACTTTAGAACATGCTTCTGGTATCTTGAAGTTCAATAGCCCATTTGTCTAATTTCACTCTCATGAGACTGAGAGGAAAAAAAGGACAGGTTTGTGAAATGCAAAACTTTTCACCCAGCATAGGTAGATGGTGTCTTACCTAGACCAAATCATAAACAATAGTGTATTGCTTTTGGGTTGAAGTCATCAGAAAAACCAATAATGTCTTCATTTCTTTAACAGATAATCCTGAAATAATCAGCAGAAGTGGAATGGAATGTCAAGAAGCCTCACTGAGAATGGCAAAACATTGTTACTGTACATACTGTCCTGTTTCCTCCTCTTTAGAGTTGCCACAAACTGCATGCTAAGTAACGATTTTGTTCTTATGGACAAATCACAAACTCTAAGAAGCTAGTGCTGCTATGTTATATATGAATAGTAAATATGGTATGCTTACTGTATCCCAACCTAAAATAGTTAACTACCTGATACCAGCTGTGATGTTTCGAGACTTAAAGGGTACATTTACTTTTAAAGATTTTATAAACATAGTTTACTTCTTAGGAATATTGTCTTATCTCCATAACTATAGCGAATGCAAATGGTCCAATTAATTTAGTATTCTAAGATTCATGGCGTTATGAATCTTTCAAGTTTAGCAATAATTCATTTATATTGGCTAAGATATATCCCAGTTGCAGGTTTATTTTTAACCCTAATTACACGTTTTATTTTTTTCCTTGGTTAAAGACGTCCTGTGTTTACTTCCCTTGTGAGCTGATTCCCAGACAAAGAAAGGAAGTGAAACACACTCCAGTCCTCGTGCTCATCACCCTGCCAGTCTACAATTTTAAATAGAAAACCCAAAGCAAAGCACAAATCTTTAGATGCACCTAAGTTGATATTTGACTTGGATGGACAAGCTGCATTGAATCATGGGATTCTAGAATAGCAAAAGAAAAATCTAAAACTTTGCACGGTATGAATCTCATACCCCCAACAAAGTCTTGAAAATTTTATTTTACAAGTATATTTATAACGTTTTTAAAAGAGACTTTGCAGAAGTGCCTAAAATTTGCCACATCAGACTTCAAGGAAGTGAGGCTGATGCCAACTATCTAATATACAGTAAGTGATAAATGTTTCAAAATTGCAATCAGATTATCACAAAGAGCCGAGCTATTAAGTAACTTCTATAAACAAACAAACACCTAATTAAAGAGGCTGTAGGTGAGGAGATTGTGTGATATTCTCATTTTAAAAAAATGAATTCAGTCACTGAAAACCTGGTAAGTGACTTTAATCTAGATTATTAACTAAAAATTAAACATGTAGGGAGCGCTTAAATTTAATAAACCATTACTGTTCTTGTATTTTTTAAATTACATTATAGGATGATAACTGGATTACAGTGGAGAAATAATACTAGTTATTTTAATCTTTTTTCTTTAAAACATATTTTATGTCACAAAGTATGAAGATATCTTTAATACAATTATATACATATTATATATACATACATACATATATATGGATGAAACAGATTTTAATGTTGTTTACTTTTTTAAATGATTTGTTGATTTACACAGTAATTATATATGTACAATTAAAATTTCATTTAAGTTTGGTTTAAGATTTGTTTCAAGCACTATTGTACCAAATATTTCATATTTCACATTTTATATGTTGCACATGTCACATAAATACGTAGTTTTTTAAATTATGATTTAAAAAACAAAACAGCTGTTATAAATGAATATTATGTATAATTGTTTGCAGCATCAGTTTTCTATGTGGACATTATTAGTGATTGCAGTATTTTAACTTAAACTTTACAGATTGATTGTAAAATATTTTAAACTTTGGCAGCACTGCCTGTTCTGAAAGACTAGAGGCACTAACAACATGATTATTTGTTTTGGAAATGACTTCCCATTCTAAATCTTGTTTGTCAAATGTCTGATTACTATATCTTTATATTAAGATTGTAGATTTGATCACCCAAAAGAAAACAAAATCACAATCTGATTGTAAAATTAACATAATGCTTGTAATGTTGCATTTGTTTTAATTTGTGGGAAAATAATGTATCTTAACTTGTTCCTTTAGCAGTTAAGGTATCACCATTATGTACTATTAAAACACTAATGTTTGTAGACTTTCTCAGTCATTTTAACCAGGTAGTTGACACTGCAACTTGCCTATATCTGTCAAAGTTGTTTTTCATTTTATTTTTTTTAATACTAGTTAATTTAGGCATTTTGGTAGCATATTGTATAATACTAAATGGTAAATTATCCACATTGTTTAAATATTTTCTGTAGCGAACTCTTTAAAACATTGTTTTGTGTGATCTTTTTATGTTTCAAAATAATTATTCTATATTTTTTACAGTTAATTCAATATTACTATTTTTGGCCCATTGATGACAGTGTTCCGGTACATCAGGGCTTACATCCACACAAATTTACACACAAAAGAAAAAATGTATTTTTAATAAGAGATCCATTTTCCGACTTTATGACTTTGTAATATTCCTCAAAACTGTGAAAGTGCAAACCTATGCTAACAAGAAGGAGGCAATTACGCAGATGAGCAAATAAATGTAGAACAGATTCTGCATTTTATTTATTTATAAAGTAATTTTATAGAATATTTCAAAATTTGGGAAGATCTAAAACTATTTTTCTGTATAAATATTATTTGCCAAAACTTTGTTTATATTTTAAAAAGAAAGTCTAATGGAGATGAATAAATCTTAAATGCTTTGTTGAATTACAGAAAAGGAACTCCCCAGAAAAAATCATGAGATGGGCCAACACTGAGAAACTATAGCTGAGAGGTAATTTCGAGTTACTTGAGATGTCTCTATTTATTTTGTACAAATGAAACAGCACTTCACCAAAATACCTTATCATTTGCCTCTCTCATACAAAATATAATTGGCAACATTTCTGGCTATTTCAATAACAGTTTAAGAATCCCCTTCATTCATTCCTTTCACTGTAACCATAGCAATCTGTTAAAATATCCATTATATTTTTGTTGTGACTTTAAATTTATTCACCCAGTGTGCAACCACTGAAATAAAAAGAAGCATTTTAAAATGATTGCAGTAATGCAGTGTTCTTTCTTGCAGGTTTCTCTCATCTTTTTTTTTTCATTGTACAAGTAGAAGAGATTAAATTCCATAGAGTAAACCATTTTGGCTCAGGACAAACCAGTGTTCTGCATAGTGGGGACAGAATTCTCCATTCCTTTTCCTTAACCATTAGGCAGTAGAGCTGACAACTGCTACATCAGGGGTGGCCGATGTGCCACATGCTTGCCACAAGTGGCATGGGTAATGTCTGTTTGCAGGCAGCAAATCAGACACAGGGTACGTAGCAGAGCAACTGACAAGTCAGGGAGCAGAAAGCAGAGCAGCAGGTTACTCAGGGAACAAAAAACAGAAAGGCAGAGCAGGCAGGGAAAAGAGATCAGAGTGACACTCGGGGAGGGTCCAGGGCTAATTTGTGGCATGCCTGCCAAAAAGGTAGGCCACACTATGCTACAGCATCATCCATAGCCACTGTATACATCCTTTGCAATAGCGAGTTTGCATGCTATACCTTTATGGTTTTTTGTCCCCTGGTCTTGGGTCTACTCTAGGAATGCTCTCTTCTCTTACATGGATTCCCAGCAGCCTCTGCCTCTATACAAAAGCTATACCTGTTCCATGGCACTGAGCAGTTTCCACAGATTTACCCTTAGCAGAACAATAATTGTATGTCCTTTCTGTGCATATACACACTTGTGTATAATGTTGTCATCTGTGCACTGCAGCTCGCAGATGTATAACTACCATTTATTCAAAACATTCCTGCCTGAATCTCACAGACTGTTATAAAGGAGCTCTATTATCCACATATTCCTGAAGAGGAGACATAGGCTCAGAGAAATTTAAGTTACTTGTTCAACGCCTGAGATCTCACAATAAGCCAGTGACAAAACAGGAGTCAACATTTCTGGCCGCATCCAGGCAAACACAGCCGTACACCACAGACATGTCTGTAGTGCCACATACCACACATTCAGTTGTTCTCTGAACTAAAAGGGAGCAGCACAAAGGGGATTTTTTTTTACCCCTGGGTATCCAGGGGTCCAGAAAAACCACGGAAAAAACTGGAGTGGCATACACCGTGGCAGAATGCATTGCCCAAAGCCAGAGCCTGGCCAGCCAGAACCACTCTCTGCTGCCAGCCAGGCTCCACAAAACAGGATCCTCTCTGCTGCAGTCCAGTGCTGGCAACAGCCTTCCCTACCCCACCCAAGGTAACTTGCCACGCACCAGCACGCACGTGGCATAGGTGTTCTCCGGGGACAACTAGTGGCAGCACAAGGTGTGCCACCATTAGTTGTCCCCAGGGAACCAAACATCCACGCACGTCTGGATGCAGCCTCTGATTCATAGTCCCATGATCTTGTCACAAGGCTGTGATAACAACTGAATCTTCAGTAGCAGGGCAGTATCAATTGCATGTGGTGTAGACAGAAAGAAGAGCATGAAGTTAAGATTGTTGTGGGGATGCAGCCTTGCTTCCTCTAGAGGGAGGAAACATCCACAGATGGGCTTTACCTCTTTGTCAGAAGCCAGGGATTAGCGTGGAGGCTGAACTCCTTTCTCATTCCTAGAAGCATTCACTCATGGTAAGAATGGGTCTTGCACTGTGCTGCAAATGCAGTACCGGTTTCATTGGCAAATATGATTTTAGTTTCTAAACCTGTCAGTCCTACACCTGTGAGTGCCACCTTTATTTACATTCCATTTTTTTAGGAGAGAAATAAAACTGCAGATCCCTTTGCAGCATGAAGGAAAAGAAGGGTTCATTAACCCACTGGATCAGCAAAGGTCTAGTTTGAGAGGAATGCAACATTGCAAGGTGATTTTGGAAAACCACCAGGTGAGCTGGTCAAATTGCAGGTGTCACAAACTGAGTGAGGCAGGAAATGTGTGTGTGGTCTGAAGAGGGGAAGGGGAAGGGAAGTGATAAAAAAAATGATGGTAAAAGGAAGGGAGAAAAAATGTGAATATGTCTAAGTAAGGATTCAAATTGAATTATTAAAATTTCTGAGCATCACCTCTCTCCTTTTATATTTTCATATACTTGGCCTCATTCTAGTGTCATATTTGGACAGCTGATGGCTACTAAGAAGAGACAGGGAACATGTATATTAATTTTAACTTTTTAAAAACACTTACACTTCGCAATTTTGGCAGTTTTTATAGCTCCTGTGAACTTTTTCTGCTGCACGGAGCCTAATGGGTAGTTTTGCATTCGGCCTAGTAAGCCTACATATCCTCAACTAATTGTGGGGTTTTTAAAATGAAATAAAACCCTTTACAGAGTTGAAAATTAATAATTATTAGGTATTCTGCCGAGTCTCACCCAAAACTGAGGCAACAGTATCTGGATCATGACCACAGTAGTGTGCTAAGATTTTAGTGAGTCCTATTCTGAAGTCATTTTCTTTCTTGAATTCAGTAGATCCTTGAAAATGCTTTGAATGGCCTTGATATATGTCTTTTGGCATAACATCATTTGCATCAGTAGTAAAACAGTGGATGGGTGACTGGGCATGAGCTGCAGGCAGTGGCCAAGGAGGAAGGAAAAGGTTGCCTCACCTTCCCATACCCTGTCTCCCACCTTGCACCTTCCCTGCAGTGGCTCCAGTGGCAAGTAGGGCCAAGTGCCAGTGGGCAGAAGTTCACTGCTACTAGGGGGAGATAACTCCTTTTTGCCACCAAAAATCAGCATTTAAATGGCTGCTTAACGTGTCAGTGGCAAAAAAAAGTGACCTCTCCCCTACAGCAGCCAACTTCTGGCCACTGCTCACGTACCATGCACTACTGCCACCCAATGTGCAGTACCGGAAAATTACACCTCCTTTCTTTTGCAGAGTCTACTTGCTTAGGCCTTGATCTCCTTTTCAAATGCCATAAGAAAGGTATTTTATGGCTATGACTTTTTAATGGATCAAGATTCTTTTTATTGCTGTGGGTAGGGGGTACATTCAGGATTGCTCTATCAAAGGGTTTAATAAAAGAGTGAAGCAGATACAGCATGATGAAATCCATGGCAAGGTTATCTGTGAATGGATGATATAAATTAATGTGCAAACAAGATACTAAAATATTTCCTACCACAAAGACGAAAAAGAACATTTTCAAATATAAAAGGGAAAGGGCTGGCCTGGAATTGAGAAACATTTCAAAGAAGGAAAGAAGCATTCATACCTTGTTATATAATTGTACTGCTTCCCACCAGCAGTGCCTAAAGAATAAGGGAAAAGCTAATGTATACGTGAACAGAAGGGTGATATACTGCCCCTTTGTCTTTGAAGAGCTGAGCTCAAAACCTAGTTTCAGATAAAAAATGATGTTTGAGCTACATCCAACTTTGTTCACATCACAGAGTAACAGTTTTAACCCAAATGCTGATCTCTGAGTCCCAAGCCCAAAATAGCACAAGGTCCCCAGAAATCCTGATGATGAGGGTAATGTAGATACGGCAGGATTTGCATGCACTGGAGGACCTGGCTGGAGGCACAAATGCTAAACTGCATGCCTCTGCTAAACTTGAGGCAAGCCACTTTCAGTAGTAATAAATTCACCTTTCATTCACAGAGGGGAATACAAGTAGATGTGTTGCCTTTACCTCTGTCTGAAAAATATCACTAAGTTGAATGAAACTAGAATCAAGAGGTGTCTGACAGTATTTTTTTGTACTTGTTCATATACCACTAAAGGTGTTATTCAGAATTAATGATACCCCTCTCTTCAATTTGAAGAAATTGCTAATGCTTTTCCCATAAACATAATTTTAAATTTGTAGTATTTTAAACAATAAAGAACTAGCAACCCACCCAGTGGTTGGAATTTTTAAAGTATTACCAACAGCAATTTTAAAAAAAATAATGAATGAGGCACTGACAGTAATCAGACTGGCTGTTTAATCTCATTCTTTAAAAAAAACTAAGTGTTGGGTTTTGAGCACTTAGGGCACATCCACACATGCAAACACATGCACTTGCAGCAGGTCAAATAGAAGCGGTGCAAGTTTGAGCTGGGGCTTTTTGCTTCAGTGCACGTGCTCAGACATGCACTTTGGTGTGGAGCAAATTGTGCCAGCTGGGGCAAAATAACCCTGCCTGGCTCCTCCTGGATCTGCAGCCAGGGGGAGCTAGAGCCCAGGACCAGCACCTGTGCTGTCCCCCGCAGTATAAAAAGCTGCTCTGGCAAGTAGCTCAGGGCTACTAGCTCTCAGGAGCTTCTGGGGCCCAGCCAATTCGTACCTGGGAACACTACCCCTTGTGCCAGCTGGACTGCTGCAGCAGCCCTGAGAGTTCCCTGCACGCTCCACCCACTGCAGCAGTTTGGCAGTGGGGGCTGCTGCCTGGCTGTGACCTGCTGTACACCTGCCAGATTTAGGGACTGTACAGCCAGTAGAGACATCTGCCCCTCTGGGCCAGCTGCCAGTGGACTATGGCTGCAGGGTTGGCCTCTGTACGGCACTACTGCCATGTGAGCCCTCTGCCATCTGGGCACCTATTGCCCAGAAGAAGTGACAGACCCAGGTGGCCACCCCCACCTATTAATTGTCCTGCATGATAATTTGCCAACCATTTTGTGCTTACCACCTGCCAAAAATCAGCATTGGAGGCTGCATCCACTGAACCAAATGCAAACATCACTAACCACTGGTGATGCCCATCTACCTATCCATACAGCTTTCAGGGAGGTCATTTGACCCATCCACCACAGCAAGTTTGGAATTCTATGCTCCACCCATCCTCCACCCACTATGCCTCCTCAATCCAAATGTAACATCATGAACAAGTGCAGCAGCAGCTGGGCCAGGGAGGAGGAAGTGGATCTCATCACCATCTGGGATGAGATTGAGTACCAACAGACACCCCTGTCAGGTCACGAGAACAAGGTGGACTATAAACAGATCACAAAGGAAATGGCCTGGGGACATGACCATGACTGGGCCCAGTGCCAATCCAAATGCAAGGAATTCAGGCAGCACTTCACAAGGACATGGGAGGGCAACTGTGTGTCAAGTACA